CATATTTTATATCGTTTTTTTTTTTTTTTTTAACTTTGTAAATGTTTCAGGTGATATTTCGTGATTTTAAGACGTCCAATATTTTATTAGATGAGGATTTCAACCCGAAGCTCTCAGATTTCGGGCTTGCTAGAGAAGGCCCAACTGAGGGTAACACACATGTCTCAACCGCTGTGAGTACACTATGTCAATAGGACAAAAATTGGGCTTCTATAAATAACTCACGCGTAATGATTTTTTAGGTTATGGGTACACATGGTTATGCAGCTCCAGACTACATTGAAACGGGTCATCTAACAGCAAAAAGTGATGTGTGGAGCTTCGGGATTGTTCTATACGAGATCCTAACAGGAAGGCGTTCATTAGAAAGAAGCCGACCAAAAGAAGACCAGAAACTGATAGATTTTGTAAGACGATATCCAATCGATAGTAAAAAGTTTGGGATAATCATAGACCCACGCCTTGAAGCTCGATACTCCCTCACAGATGCTAGAAAAATTGCGAAGTTAGCAGATAGTTGTTTGCTGAAGAGTGCAAAAGATCGACCTAAAATGAGTCAAGTGGTGGAGTCTTTGAAGCAGATTTTGGATGTTTCAACTGAAGGAAGCCCATCAAATAAAAGTTATGAGGTTGGTGATGATGAACCAGGGGAGTTGACTGAAAAGTCAAAGACGGGGGAAGTCTCGGATTCATCCAAGAGGAGATTGGCTCAGTTGGCTAAGCTGAGTGAACATGTTGGGGGAGTTAGTAAGAAAGGGTTTATGATAATGCATAGAGCTAAAGTGTCTTAAAACACATATCATGGTTACTTTCTTGCATAATATATAATAATGTTTAGAGATTTTTTTCTTTTTCATTTTGAGCATCAGTGGAAAGAGTAGTAATCAAACCTTTATGAAATTTGCTAAATCACTTCAATTTTGACCTGTATGTCTGACTCATCTCCTCAATCACCCCTGCAAATTTTAGATCAAAATCACATAATAAGAAAAGCAGATTCTATAATAAAATATAATAACAAAGCGTCTCATTTTTTCTAAATATTTAAATATGTTTCAAGATACCTAATATCAAGATCTCTCTGAAGCTGAGCAGATCATCAAACTCGAATTTTGATGAACAATTTCATCACTTGTTTATAAACATAATCTTTCTCTTTGATTCCCATTCACTTGTTAACTTCCAACATTGGTTGTTCAACATTACAAGACCTACCAGATCCACTTTTGATCATTCTTCTAGAACTATAAAACTTATTTCTACACAAATAGTCATAAGTAAGGTGCATAAAAAAATCAATAAAAAACCCTTTTTCAGATATATAAACAGCATCTTCTTCTACACCCTGATGACCTCTTTCTTTAACATCCAAATCAGCTCTTTCCAAAATCTTACAAGTCACTTTATCAAATTCAAGACACAATTCCTTCAAATCCTCCCCCCACTTCAAAGCCATTTGTGGCAACCCTTGCTTACGCAAATGTGACAACAACAAATTTGTTGTCACAATATTGGGAACAAAAGCCATTTTCAGCAGTTTTGCAATCAAGATCATAGCATCATTATGTCTATCACTGCAAACAGCATTCAGCATTGTGTTATAAGTGATTGTATTTGGAACAATTCCAGATGAAAGAAGTTGATTCAGCACCAATACAGCTTTTTTCATTTTTCGAGTAACGAAAAACCCGTGGATCCGAATGTTGTAAGTGGTTATATCCGGGTCCCACCCACTGGTGTACATTTTGTATACAAGATTATCTGCAGTATCCATGTCAAACGCCTTGCAGTATCCACTTAACAAAGTGTTGTAAGTAACAATATCGGGTACTAAATTAAACCGATGCATGTCTGTATAAGTGTCACTAGCATACTTCATCCTACCCTGTTTACAATACCCGTTGATAAGAATATTGTTAGTGAAAATATCAGGAATAAGATCCATTTGTCTCATCTCTTTTTTCAACTTTAACGCCTCGTTTAATCTCCCAACATTACAAAATCCAGCAATTAAAGAATTGTAAGTGTAATTATTTGGGAAAACCCCTTTGTTTTTCATTTGTAAGAACACATTATACGCCTCTTCAACAAGACCAGATTTAGATAATCCATCAATGTAAGCAGAAAATGCAACAGTATCTGGGGATATACTTTTACTTTTCATAAATGCCCATAATCTTTGAGCACCCATCAGATCCCCAATCTTGAAGTACCCATCTATAATTACAGTGAATGCCACTTTATTGACTGGAAACTGATTCTGTATCATATAATGCATAAGCTCCTTGGCTTCTAGAAGTTTTCCATTTCTTGATAAACACATGAGCAAGGAATTACATGTGGAAGATGAGGGGGTTAAACCATATTTCATCATCATATGGTATGCATCGAATGCCTTTGTTTCTAATCCTTTTTTGCTATAAGCACAGATAATAGAATTGAAAGCAATTACTGATAGGGGTAAACCCTTTTTGAGCATGTCTTCTAGATGTTTAGTGGCTTCATCTGTTCTTCCTTCTGAACACAATATTGCTACTGTTACATCTGGCCATGAGTAATCTGAAAGTGGGCCACACATGGATCGATTCAGATAACTTATTGAGTCATCTAAATTTTCGACTCTTTCATATTTATGGTATCCTGAAACCAATATGTTATATGTCACACCATCTGCTTTGATATGATTGTTCTTCATATCCTCAAAAAGATCAGTTGCCTTATCAATTTCTCTAGCTTTCACAAAACCATCCATTAATGCATTGTAAACAATAGTATTTGGAGATACACCGTTTTCTTGCATTTCATCAAATATGTCTCTTGCTTCCTTAATTTTTCCCTCTTTGCTCAAGGCATTGATGATTGTACTGAAAGTGGCAGTGTTTGGAGTACAACCCGTTTTGACCATTAAGTCAACCCAACTCCAAGCTTCTGATGTTCTTCCATGGATGCAGTATGCATTGATCAAAATGTTATATGTATAAACATCTGGTTCACATTGAAACTTATTCATTAAGTGTAACAAGCTCTCTCCAGTTTGAATTTGACCTTTCCTACAGAACCCATGGATCATTACATTGAATGCGATGTTTGAAGGAAGAGGCCCTTTTCTGATCATATCTCTGAATAACTTCCAAACACTTCCGTAATCACCTATTCTAAGTAACAATTTAAAGAGAATTGAAAGTGCTGACAAACATGGTTGCATTCCTAATCGTCTCATTATTCTTAAAATCTGTAATGCATGTGAGTCCATTTCAGCATTCGTGAAAGCGCGCATAAGTGAATCAAGAACTGAAAAATCTGATTCGTAACCAAAATGTCCTCTCCACATAAATTCCATCAAATCCTGACCTCTAGAGACTCCAATTCTTCTTATCATCCATGATAACACATCCTGTGCTATAATCCTGAAACCATGGCTAGCCAAAACATGGCATGCAACGCAGCAAGACTTAACTAATCTATCCGACTCCTCCCTGAACACGAATTTGAAAAATGCAAACGCGCCATGTCTGTTTTCAAACTGTGTCATGATCTTTACTAACAAAAAGGGGCGAAAATCACGAGAAAACTTCTTCAAGACAAAACCTTGCTTCCTTTTTATCAGTTTCCCCAACCCTAATACGATTCTACGCCTCTCATTCGGACTTATAATAGCGCCTTCACTATTTAAATTCTTTAAAGGTGAGAAATCATCAAGATAATCACATTTACGATTGGAAGATGATGAGGTATTGAAGCAGTGTGAGCATTGAAAAATTGGGGATTTTGGGAGTAGAGCGAAGGCAGTATTAGATAATAGAGAGTTACACACCTTAATGAGAATGATTCGAGATCGACCACTCACAGTAGCAGACATCCGGCGATCTGCCGGAAGGCTATTTTTTTAATGAGCTGCGCCGTCACCGGAGGCCCAAGTCTTGCACGAGAGAGAAGCAGAGCTACTGCGCCCTTGTAGCAGAGTGGCGGAATGATAGAGAAGAACTAAATTTTCAAACATACCTCTACACTTAGAGATTTAACCAATTTGAACCTCGTACGTTACGAGTTTGACAATTAAGGATAGATTACAATTTCATCGTATCCTAGAAAGATAGATATAGATTGCAATTTACCCCTCGTTTTATTTTATTATTATCGGTTATCAATGAGTATTTGAACTTTCAAGTATTTGCTAGACAAGAACATAAAAATAATCATTACAAAAACTAAAAAGACATGTCTTACAAAGTAAAACAAATTGGAAAATCGTTGTTATCGACAATCAAACTTTGTATAAATTATAATCGACAAAAACACCAAACAATCATTTGCAATCGTACTCCTCTCTAACAAAATCTCTTAAAAAAAACACGAAATCATCCATTCATTTACATGATTACATCGAAGGCTTTACATATCTTTGATAACAACATACAAAAATTGGGCTCTTACATCAGTGTAAAACTAAATAACATCATGTATCTAATAATTAATCATCAATCAGTAACAAGCCACCCGGGTTTAAACACCGGATCATTTGTAAAATCCCGACCTGTTACAGATGTCGACTCACCCTGCCGTCTGAAGCACTACAGACAATAAAAGTAAAACATTAAGTCCGGGTCAACAATGTGGTCAAACTTTTTGAGTTTATGAGAAGAAAGAATACACACCTTGTAGCAAACAATGGTGTCATCTGGATACATTGCAAATAACTTTGTTCCAAGTCTTGCATGACAAGAATCACATAAACTTTCATCATTAATTTGTACATGTCGTGATCTTTCCTCCAATCTTGCTAAATTTGCATCAAGCCCAACAGCTCGTGACATATTATGAAGAATCTAACAAGTTGAAAACTTTGCACAAGTTATAAATATATATATTTTCCAATTTGAAAAGCAGTTATCTTTTTCAAGAAAGATGGGCAATTTGCAAAGAACCTACTTGTCCTTGATAATGATGATGAAGACGAGCTCTTAGCATTCTTAATATTGTATCCGAAGCAAGCTGTAAGGGCATATTTGGGGATAATCTCTGCAAATTTAAACCTACAACTTTTGAGACCTTTTGGTAAGATTTATAGTAACTTTTTTACTTTTTACTTTTGTTTTAATACCTCAAGAACTTGCAGAGGATCAAGAGATTCTCCATGATTATGGAGAAGCCTAACAGCAGCTTTGAACATGGGTTTCTTCCCATCTGTTGGGTTTAGATAAATATCAAGCAACCTGAAATCATAAATCCAGAAAAAAATATAAAAATGAAAGTTTTCCAACATGTATGTGTGTGTGTGTGTGAGAGAGAGAGAGAGAGAGAGAGAGAGAGAGAGAGAAGGGACCAACTGCATATAAGCATCTGGTCTTCCAATTTCAGCACAATAGTGTTCAGCAGCATCATTGTCCTCCAATTTTCTGAACATTTTTTATTATATAAATTGTGAGCTTAAGAAATTGTGAAAAAAGTTATAAAGTTTGTGAAAAAAACTTACACAGCTAGGATCTGGAGCACCAATGTTTCTTGCCCTAGTTTTCGATAAAGAATAGCCTGCAAAAAAGAACAAGAAAACATATTTTCAAAACCATGTCCATGTCCATGATACAAACTTTCTACCACATAAACTGAAACAATTCCTTTTTGAATAACTTTTTAATCTTAGTATTACACACCGTTATAACAGACCTTTTCTAACCATAATTCTGATTCTTGTATCAAATCAAGAACTTCTTCAGGGTCATACAGATCTGAAGACTGTAAGAAGAATTGCAGTCTCTCTCTCACAGGATTTTGGAATATGGATTGCTTTTCA